TGTATTTTGTACTTGTGTAAATTGACTTTATTATCATAAAAACCCTATCAATAAATTAAAATAACAATCTGATGAGAAGAGTTTATCTTAAATCTTGAATGTTTCTTGAAAGCGTTACAAGTGCAGCTCATCGCGTATAATATGTTTTTTGTTGTTTCTCTTTTTTTTTTTTTAAATAATTTATCTTCGTTTGCTTTTTAAACATTTTGTTTTTGTAATCATTATATTGTAATTATTGCTTTTGTGGTTGTGTATATATTTTCGCTTTTATCTTTTAGGATTCGCTTTTCTTTTTCATAATACCAAGTGTATACTTAAACTGTATTTGTTTGTTTGTTTGTTGGATAGTATTTGCAACGTTGAATTGTTATGAGGACAAATGACGACATGTAAGAGATTTGCCGCTTGACTACTATACAAAAAAAATAAAAAAAAATTTACAAACACAAAAAATGGGAAAATTAAAATTGAAAATTGAAAAATAAAAAATTCAAAAAAACAAGAGGAAAAAAAAAATCTAAGCTATTAAAAGAAAATAAAAAGAAATTTTTATAATTATTTTTTTTTTTGTTTTTCTCTTTATTTTTCAATTGAAGTTACAACAGATTGGATTGTAAGAACAAAGAGAAGTTTTGATTTTGACAAAAACAAAAAAAAAAAGCAGCAAACGAAAATTTTTAATGTACATGACTTGCAAAAGAATTGATTAAATGTAACTAAAAAAAGTTTGTAGCCATGTTCGTATGTATGTGAAAAGATTTTGCAAAAAAATCTTTCCTTTGAAGTTGGATTGCGTAAGGGGAAATTGTTTGTTGTATGGCAACGGCAAATATTATTATAATTTCTAAATAATGTTTTTGTCCAGTGCAAAATTTGCTGTTACGTCAGCAAATTTATCATAAATTTTTTCATTTTATAAACATAATATTATGTAGTGGTCAAATGGTAATGGCATAAGATCAAATCGGAAACGTCATTTACTTTCATCGTATGCAAAAGCATTTTGCTGTAGTAAATGGTAAGAATCTATTGCAAAGCTACAAAACTGCTGGCAAAGCAGGAATTGTTTTTTTTTGGCAAAAAAGTTTATTTTGTAAAACCTATATGAGAGTTTCTCTTAAAAATTTTAATTTTTAAACCATAGCTTATTGAACATTGTGTAGTTCTACTTCAAAAGTTTATGACGTTTTCATTTGCAAAAATTTATTTCAACATTCAATGACGCATAGTGAAAAGTCAAAATAAACCCGAATTTTGATCGAATGCCTTAAAACAGAAGAATATTTTCAATATCGTAAATGTTGAATATATAGTTCAAAGATTTTATTTTGATAGTTTCCTTTAAAATACTGTCAAGACTGTACAATATTGACATTGTGTAAAAAAAATAACAAAAATCCATGATAATTCAGCAACAGGAGAATTCGATTAATTGGCGAATCTGCGATTTTATAAATGAAAGTACAAAAATCTTTTAAATCTTCTAAAAATTTCCTTAAGAAAATTTAATTTCGATATTATCAATTAATTACGCTCTGAGAGTACAATAAACAATAAAAATGTACTTGAATTTATAGCAGAATTAAAAAAATTTGAAACGAAACAAAAAAAAAAAAATTACAACAACAAAAAAAACCTCGATAAGCTCAAGATAAGTTTCAATGTTTTATTTTAAAATTTGGTTGTTCTTTGATGATGACATTATAGGATATTGGAATTTTAGTAAAAGAATGATATTTTAGAACAACAACAAAATGAGATTTTTTAAAACAATTACATGTAAATATGTTCAGATTGTCCCATTTGAATAAAGGACCGGTTGGTTATTTTCAGCTCCAAAAAGGAATAGTTCTGCAATTAATAATTTACGATAAAATGTAAAATATTACATCTTAAGACAAGGTCTAGTTTATAAAATTCAAAAGCTCATTTTTTGTTTAATACATAGTTAAGATATTTGAACAATATTGAGTTCATATTTGAGATGCGCTCGCATTTAGTGTGCGTTTATTGTTCGATTTCTAATTATTCTCGGTTTTTATATTAAAAATATATTAGAATAGTTTTCTTTCTTTAAACTGCACACTCAGTATAAAGTATTTTGTACAATGTTTTAAAATTTCTTAAATTTTTCTTTTCTCTTATGGAAATATTTTATTGAAACGAAGAAAAGTGATCACCGCAGTTTAAAACTTTTGCATAAAATAAAAATTAATTTCAGCTATACATGATTGTCTTATGTGTACAAACTATATGTAAGTACATATTTGTAAATTTAAACAAGTTCTTTTAAGATTAATTAAGTGCAAAAAGGGGCAAAGTGACATGATCCTATCATTTTAAAATGAATAAAATAGTTGAGATTTATTTCTGGTTTTTTATGTTTTTAACTATTCTAGTTGAATTGAAATTGAAAAGAATGAAAAGAAAATTGTACAAACTTTCAATTACAATAAAACAACTAAGAATTAGAAAATAGTTGTTCATCAAAAAGATATATCATAGATCAGAACAATTAAAATTAAATTAAGATGTTAAAAATATTTGACAGAAACATTATGCAACTTCTTTTCTCGTAATCTTTGAATAAGAACATGAGAAATTCAAGAAAGAAACTATGATATGTAAAATGTTTGTATTATTTTTTTAAAATATTTAATGATAGCGGATGTTGTTAAGTTCTATACAAACATGAATTTCCATCCTTTCATTTGACCTTTAGTTGACGTTGATAACTTTATTTGGTCAAAAGACATAAGGTTTTGAAAATTTTTAAATTTTCATCTCTGAAGTCCCTTATCATACTTCAGAGACATTTTGATCAAAAGTGGTAGAGCATCAACTTTCTTGCCACATCATACGTTATGTGACGTCACAAAATATTTAGTCACTACTTGGACCTACTTATTTGCTTCGATTCTCTAATATTGTTATAAAAATAGAATGTTGTGAATATTGCATACTTTTGGGGAATTAATTTGAAATTAAGTTTTGTGTACTTTTATTGGGCACTGTTGTAATATTCTTCATCCATGCCGATTCTGATTGTTATTTTACTGTCATTTTGTTTAAATTTAGTTCAAAAATTAAGATTTCCTACTGCGTTGACAATATCCGGTCGAATATAATTTTAATCTATTGTTCTAAATTTTTTTTTTCAAATTAAATAATTTTTATATTCTTTGAAAAGGTTATCGTCCTCTTGATTACTAGCTATTTGAAATTCAAAGATTATTTCCAAATTTATTGTTTCGTTTTAGATTTTCAAATATGCATACATTTTACAAAATATCTTAAAAAAACTTTTTTTTTATCTATTTTGAATTGATAGTAAATCTATATAAATGTATACAATGTGAAAAGTTTATCGTGTCGCGCGTCTCACGTACAATATTTTCCTTTTGATTGTGAATCATTTTAACACAATCTGTAACGAATAATGCTTGTGAATGCCAAAATCTGGTTTATTTTTTAACTTTTACTATAACTAAATTTAGCATATGTGCGAACACATGTTCGTATGTATGTATGTATGTGCTTTATTCATAAAGTAAGAGTATAGGGGCTGAATAAAATTAATAAATCAAAAATAAAATTGAAAATTTTTTTCTGTGCTTTTTTTTTTTGGAATAATTCACAATGATTCCAGCTGCTTTTAATTTACATATAAAGTTAGTTTAAGTGGTTAGTGTAGTTTTTACATATAAACAAATTTTAGTTTTTTTTTTTTGTGATTGGTTTGATTTTAGAATTTAGAGTAATTAACTCAATGTATACGTTATTGCTATATTAAAAGAAAATAAATAAAAAAATATTTTTTCCCTGGAACTATAAAATTTCATTAAATATTTTAATAATTTTTAAATAGAAATTTGATGAGAGAATTTAGAAAGCGCTTATAGGAAATGATGTTTAAAAAAAACGCGAATGATAAGTGTTTGCTAATTGGAAAAAGATAAAAGCTGGAACAGCAGCAAAATTAAAATAAGACAAAAACGAAAATAAAAAAAAATTTCCATAATTTCGTGTCTGCACATTAATTTTTAACTGTTAAGATAGCTGGTAACAAAATTAAATTTGTTTATTAAATAACAGTTAACATTCTATATAAATTTTTTTAAACGTTATGTTGTATTTCTGTTATTCTATATGCCTAGAATAAAATGTCAATCTAAATTTTTGACATTTTATTAAATGAAAATTGATTTTTCGTTCAGTTTTCGTAAAAATTCCAACATGGGAAGTAACAGGATTTACTTGAATAGAAAAATTTTTAGATTTCCAAAATATTCACATTATGGATAGAGAAAGATCATTTGAATTTAAAGAATTAAATGATTAGAAGTAGAATAAACGCACCTTCGAGACTTGGGTGATTGTTTGCTAGAAGCGTATTATATGCTGAGAACTAGAGAGTACTTGCATGTTTTTGCGTGCTGTTTTCATGTAAAATTTCTTTATAACGGCTACTCAAACTTCAGTTAACGATTTTGTGCCAATTATATTATAATGGAGTGCATAATACCAATTAATAATGTTCTATTGCTAATTTATGTTTGTTGTGTACGTTAAACAAACACATAGTTACATACACCAGTTACTTCTTCATGGCGTTCCCTTCCAACACTTTTCTCTCTTGAACTACTGTTTTCATTATCTGTCGTTTTGTTATCCGAAATGAAGTTTCAAACTTTTTCACTAAAATTTTTTTTTGTTTCATTCTTTCCATTTAACCGTTGCTTTATTCAAGAAACTTTCATACAGTTTTATAATAGTTAGCTCTTTAAAGTTTAATAAAATGTCGAAACTACTTGAAATAGTTCTTTGAAACTACAAGCTTTAGCAAATTAGAATTTTTACATAAAACAAAAGGGGTACGTTATTTTGCCATTGTATTTTACAATTTCAATATAGTGATGGACTCTATTAAAAAAAAACTAGAAATTGTAAAAGAAACCATTATAAATATTTTACATATTATAATCTTTATAATTACTAACCTGATCGGGTCTCAAACCGGGCGGTACCCATGTATATTCTTCTAAAGCACAACCACTATCATCATCTGATTGTGAATGTCTTTGGATATCAAGTTGTGGTCCAACTAAATAATTTGGATGTGTTCCGGCTGTAATAACGCCTTGCTGTTGATAATGATGTAATAATGGTGATGATGCTAATGGTTTTAATGATGATGATGAATATGATGCTTGTAATGGTGATGGTAATGGTGGTAATGATGGCATTGTTGTACTACTTGGTGATGGTGAATTAAATTTAATTGATGTTGATGATGATGATTGAAAACAACCAATCCCTCCAGAATTTTGTAAACGATTTTCTATTGATAATGTTGAAGATGATGAGGGTGGAAGACGTTGTATACTATTAGATAAAATTGGAATATTATGATGATATGGTTGTTGATGTGTTGGAGGTAAGGGTGGTGGTGGTTGTTGTTGTTGCTGCTGTTGTAATTGGTGATGTTGTTGCATTTGGGATGATGGACGCGATTGTAAATTTGAATGCAGCGATTGTTGTTGTTGTTGATGTTGTTGTTGTTTATTATAATTAAACATTGAACGATGACTTGGTAATGGTGATGTTGGTAAAGGACTTGATAATTTTCTATTGGCACTTGATGTAGGTGAAAATAAAGGATTACTTATATTTGGTAAAGAATTAGCACAATTTTCATTTAAATTATATAATTGATCTGATTTTGTTAATGTTGTTGCGGTTGTTGTTGTTGTAGTTGTTGTTATTGCTGTTGTTGATGCTGTATTTATACCAATTTTTTGAATAGATGATGATGATAATAATCCTTCTTTTGATTGATGACTTGTTAATGATATTGATTGTTGTAAATATGATAATTGTGCTGGAGATCGTTTTATTGGCCTATTTTAAAACGAAAAAATAAATGAAAAAATTTATTAGAAAATTTATTGAAAATTTAAGAGTATTGTGAAAAATTTTTATAATTAAAATGAAAGAATTTAATTAGGGATTTTTTAAAATGAGTATTTTGTGAGAATTTTGTGGTTTGAGAGAATTTTGCGACAAGTGATGGTTATTATGTTATTTAAGCAATGTGTTCTAAATTTAATGTGAATTTATACATTCATTTGTTACATTGAAATCAGTTGAGTAAATTTAAGAGTATGGGTTTATGTTCGAGCTCATAACAAAGTTTTGACCTTAGGTAGATCATATTCTGCATAAAACGGTGTGCATTCCTCCCTTATCTACATATAAAGTATTGTAGAGTCAAATTGTGTGTAAGATCATTACAAATTGGGAAATTTTAAATAACAATTGGGACTTTTTTCTATATTTTCTTTAAATCCTCTGCATTGCAAGAGGCTTAACTATTTTAGTTCAAATCAAATTCCTTCTCAAATTCTATCAATAATACAGAAAATACAGAGAAATTTATATTTTTTGGTTTACGCTCATTGAGTAATAAAAAAGTTTTCAATAATTTTTTTCTCTGCATACTTTCCCTGTTTTCCTCTTTTTTTAAATTTTCTCCAAAAAGAATAAAGTAAAGAAAAGTAGCAGCACAATTTTTTTAAGTTAAAGAATAGTAAACGCTTCCTTTGAAGTGAATAGAATTGTTGTGAACAAGAATAGTAGCACCCAAGTACAAAATGCTACTGAAATTTTAAAATACAAGTAAGAAAAAAATATAAAAAAAAAAATATTTTTGATTTTTACATATTGTGTGTATGTTTGCGATGGTAATGTCGTACATTAAAAAAAAGAACCTTTTGAGAACCTTTTTAACAGAAAAAAAAAAACGATAAAAAAATCAAAGAATTTTTAAAATATTTTTTGAACTCAACTCCATTTAATACACCGGTAAGTTCAGTAGGAAAATAAAGGAAAACAAACATTTCAATAAACTACAAAATGAAAATTTATTTGCATATCAGAACAGAATATCAATATATTTTTTTTTTTGCAATAAATAGATTGACCATTTCGCATTTGATTTTCTCGGTACATAATTTTTAGATGTTATAGAGACATCTATTGATTCTAGTTTGTAGTTTTCAAAAAATGTGCTATAAAATTCCGGTAAAAGGAGCTTAAATCTTTAAGAAAATCAGGAAGGAAAAATGCATGGCAAAATTTACCTAGTTATGGCAGAAAAATGTATTTAAATACGGATTCTTTTCAATGTTATTAAACGGAAATGCACGAAATAAAGATGACAATTCAAAGGAACCACTTAAAATTGTTCAATTTTCTGATTCTGAATCGATTCTGCGTTTTAATATTTAGAGAATTGACAGGAAATTTAAATTTTAAAAGCCTTAAACCTTAGAGTACTACTTTGCATCTTCATTATATGTTTCACTTGGCCTCATTGAATACAATTTTGCAGTTGTCAAATTTTGAATTGCAGTTTTGTATTCTGAATATGTTCATATTTTAAGAATCAGCTTCATAATTTTCTTTCCTGAAATAGATCCTATATAAATAGGATGCAAGTACGATGTGTAAACGTACATGCTTGATTATTTTGTTTGATTAGTAAAATATAATATTATTCAATTTTCACCAAACATAATGTATGGGCAATGTTTGATGTCTTAATTTTATTTTTCGATCCTATTGATAAATTACCGATTTTTAATGTAGCTTGGGCGTGATACCCCAACTTAATTTAAAGTTGCGATATTAAAGATTACGACAACTATTTCGAGTGTTAAAATTTTCAAAATTCTCTTATACGCAATTTAAAAGTGAAATCATAATTGTATAATGGTTACTCTAAACATAAAAACTTCCATCATATCAATTTTGTCTTTTTTTTCAAAAAGGATCCAATAAAGGAGCAGTACATATAGGAAATCACATATTTTTAACCTTTATTTTTTTTTTGTTGCTGTTATTGTGCATTGGGATGTTATTACTATTGATTGTTTAGTTTTTTTTTCATGTAAAATTTTTTTGATTACCTAAATTGGGAATTAAATTCCATTTTATTTTCCAAATTAAAATGCAAAATGCATACACAGCTTTTTACAAAAAAAAAAAAACAAAATTTATAAATATCATTTTTTTTTTTCATAAATTTTTATGTTTTTTTTTCTGTTTATTTTCACTTGAGACGCTTTATAATTTTAAAGACCCAAAGGTATCTTTTCAGTATCATCTATGATTTTCTATATAATAATGGACACACATTGAATTAAATACAAAAATGATAAAGAAAAAAAAAAAGGATTGGCTCGTGAGATTTTAACAGCATCTTTACTTTCTATTTTTGCCCCCTGTTCTTTTCATTTAATAGCCAACCATGGCACATGAATTGAATAGATAGAGAGGTACAGATTTTTTTGTTAACAGAAATAAAGAATATAGAGAGGAGGAAGAAGTAGCAACACAAAAAAAAAAGAAGAGGAAAAAAAAAATGTCGAATTATTTGTGATTCTAAAGGATTATTTTTGCGAGTTTTTATTTTTTATATTGCAGTTGGAATGGTTTCTTGCTTACTGAACATAAAGAATTTAAGAATCTATTATGTATACTCTAAACATATATAAAAATTTATATAAGTTTATATACATATATGTATGTAGATCATATAGAAGAATGAGTCTATTATCCTATTAAATATTCATAGAATGTTTGAATAGAAAATAGAAAATAATAAATAGAGAGAGAAAAAAAAGTTCAATTAATTTAGTAATAAAAAGCTGTGAAAAAAAAACATAGAAATGAAAATGTAAGCATATAGAAGAGTTAGAGAAAACCACAACATTCTTTCAATGTGATTAAACATTTGCTTTTGTTTGGAAATTATTGGGTAAGAGGCAAATATTTTACAATAAAATTATTCATTAAAAACAAAAACAGGAATTGTGCAAGTGACAAAGGAAGTAAATTATTTTTTTACACTTTTTATTGGAAGTTCAACTTTCTACAACTTTATTTTTAAATTTTAAGCACTTACTAACTTTATAGAATTTTAAAATTTAAAATTTTAATTTTAAAGGGTTTATTTTTTTTGCTTACTTAGAGTTTAAATTTATAATTTTAATAAAAATTTTAATATAAAATCCTATGGATGTTTTCTGAATACAAAAATTTTAATTTAAAATCGAAATTCTGCCAAAACCATTGATTAAAACAAAAAAAATTTGTAATAGGCGACAAGAGGCGAAAATATCCACTATTTTCATATTTTATAAAATTTAGAGAATATTCAAATTGCCAAGATCAAGAAGGGTACATTTTGGGACCTCCATAGAGAATATATAATATGTACATCATTGCTCAGAATCAAATTCTAAACCGATCTTGTCAATGACATATGATTATTGTTATTGTTAATGTCTTATTTGAGAATGCAAAGAGCTATAGATACCTGAAATTTAACACAGTTTTGTATTTTAACAGCACGCAAATCAGAATTGAAAACGGGCAAGATTTCCTTGTTAAAACTAATAACTTCCGTACAAGATCTCTGTACGGACTTTAAAAAAATTCACCAAGCCATTTGTATCCTTCTTTCCTGGCATATCTCCATATAATTTTAGTTCTACAAATTTTTTAAAAAAGGCTGGTATTCAGTTCTGGAAAACACCTACAATTAACTTTCTTACTTATTTTAATATATTTATTATTGTAAACATGTTGAAGTTGTTGTCAAATCTATTTGCATGCAAAATATAAATGCTCAATTATCGCCGTACAAATATAAAAATCCTATATTTATGTTCTTTGCTAATTAGTTTTTCAAAACTACGCTTTTGCTAAATTATTCACTAAAATTTAACATGACATTTAATAATGACAAAAGAAATTTCGCCATATATTTTTGATTTATTTTTTTTTTTTAAATCGAATTAACCAGCTGCTACTCTCAAAAACCGCAAGCACCTAAATGTACTTGAACACAATGTACTATTAAATATATGTAGGAAGTAAGCATAATACGGTCAAATAAAATTCAAAAAATAGTGAGGAAGAATAAATTTTTTCGATGTCAAGAAAATGTCAAAATCACATTCTATATTCTACATTTCTCTTTATGTCCATAGTATATTTAAGTATGGATGTGTTTATTTAAAATATTCCAACATATTTTATTGTATTGCAAAAATATATCGTGAGTTCAAAAGATCAAACTGTATACTGTATTAAATAATAATAAATTCAAAGGTAAGTATAACAAAATAATTAAATATTATATAATATTAAGCGTAATTTACATGTTATTATAGCAATAATTCAAATGTATTACATATATACTTATAAAATTGATAATGTCATTTATAGACAGATGATTGGCGTACTTATACACATAAATAAGAGTATAACAGTATAAGAGTTTATTTACATGCAATTGCATAATATTATAAGCATGCAAATATCTGAGTCAAAGAAATTATACTTTTGAACTTGAAATAAAAATAAAACTTAACAGTTAATATGTCAATGTATGTATCTGAGTATGTACTAATATGTATACATGTTTTAAGTAGGTGAAAACGGCATTCGCACATTCCACATATTGAAAATGAGTTAATCTTTAAATGAAACATTTAACTACACACATACATACTTGTAAAAGCAAAAAAATTAATTTGAAACTGGTGTTAATTTATAGAATTCACATTATTTACTTTTTAAAAAAATCGTGTGTCACGAAAAAAATACGGGTGAATTGAAATAGTCTACATTTATTCCTGAATCGTTTTATTGGAAATATTTATGTATTTTGTAATTTTTCATTTGCAATATTACGAAATAATCTGAACCGTTAAAGTTAACATGAAATTAAATTATACCGTTATAATTTTAACAAAAACAAAAGGTATTAAGTGGAAATATTTCTATTTCTACGATTCTAGAATATAAATGCAGATAATAAAAGGTTATCT